CGCCGGACGACGACACTGCTGTCTCCCGCCTTCCAAGGCGCCGGGTACGTACGCGACACGTAGATCGACTGCACGCGTATTCTTCTTGCTGTCCTTGAGTTCATGCAGGCTAAAAATTTCCTTGCTTTGGTTTTGCTGTCTGCAGAAGACGGCGGCGAGGAGGAGCCTGTGGATGGGTTGCTTGGGCCTCAACTGCGTCGCCTGAAACTAGTAGCTTACCATTGCGGCGGCTACCTGATGCAACACTACTTTTAAGCTATATATATAGGGCGTATGGAATCTGGAGAAGTAGTAGCTAGTAGTGGGAATAGAGTGCTCTTTGCTTCCTCTCCATCGTGTTCGTGGTTAGCTCACTCTCACTGTATGCCAATACTGCTATATATGGCAGCATGAAGATTAGAGGAGCAGTACTAGCTTAGTACTAGTAGACTAGTAGTTGTGCTTGTGCCAGCCAAGGAATAGAGTACCAGTGAAATTTAACAGGATCATCGGTCGTGCATGTGTGGATTATTGCAGCATCTTGTCATGCATGGCAAGGGGGGTTTACAGTAACTAAGCAGAAAAATACATAGAGCCAGGTTATCTTGCTGGTAGCTCCTGATCTTTTTGAACGGACATGTATATATTGGCATATTGCTCCTGAAGGCCTGACCAATTTGTTTGCGCATGCAAATGCGGCGTTTCTATGTTTTTTTGGGTTGTTGCAACCCGCACTACCCGGGTGTCTGTCAAACTCATCACTCCAGCAGCTACTACGAGCAGCCCTGCCTCACTTGAATCCCATGTGACGCGCTTCGATCTGACCGTGCACTTTTAGGGACGCTGTGTACTGTTCATGCAAGACATACTGTAGGAGTATGTGCTCTGGGCTACTCCATCCGTAAAAAAAAACGTAATTCTAGTTCTGAATCTGTAATTTAGGAACCACTTGTGAACAATCCATGTTCAAAGCGTATTTAGGAGTATGTGCTTGGATTTCCTGAGAAACTCCACCTCTTGGCCGTGTGATGGATTTCCTAGGACACCTGGCTTCCATCCGAGTGGGCCTACACGGAGACACCGGTGCAAGGAGGCTGCACCAAATTTTTTTCAAGTGGTACCTAAACGGGTTTTAGCGTGTAACAATGGTTGCATCTTGTTGTCTCGCTGGCCTTTGGTCGATTGACCATATCAAGGACACATTGTGAGATCAGTTATAAATTTTGTACAAAACACGTCGTTATAAATCTTGTAAAACAATGTGGCTCTGAAGCTACCTTTAAAATGGTTTCTGGAATGACCAACCTCTAAAAATAGATTTTTTAGAGTCAATTAGGCTTTCAACCTGCCTCAAAAAATATCGATTAGAAAGCCCAACCACCTCTAAAAATCACATTTTTAGACGTAGTTGGGGTTATTCTCAGCTGCCTCTAGACATGCGATTTTTAGAGGTGATTGGACCAGTTGTCTCGAAAACAGATTCCTAGAGGTGATTGGATATGGTTTGGTCTCAATGATGCATGGCTTGCCGTAAAAATTCTAAAATAGCCTACACAACATAGGTCCCACGTCTGTTAGAGCTGCTCTTAATTCATGGAAGTCTGTGGCCGCGGGCCATGCTGCAAGCCTGTGTGCAACAGCATGCCAACCGCTGCAGCGTCTGCAGGCTTTTCGGCGGTTGCCCTGCCCTGGAATCAGCCTGTTCGCTTGTTGGTTTCAGCCAGCCCAAACCAGCCAGCTAACAGTATTTTCCTCTCACAGAAAATCAGCACCAGCACCAACCAGCGAACAGGCCCATTATTTGGGCATGAGTAGGGTAGAGATTGAATACTACTACGGTTAGCTAGGACACAGCTCCTCCTCCTGGGTCAATAGGTAGGGCACTGCTACGGCGTCGGATCCGAAATCCTGTATTAAAAGAAGTGAAAATCCACTCCGGATGCAGATCAATACAAAATCGAAGCACGGTGTGAATATTTCAAAAGAATGGTTTATGATACCCCCTAGCGAAACTGTTATAGAATTTGCACCGGTTTTTAGAGGTTCGTGCCTGCCCTTAGCTGAGGCGGGCGCGTAAGGGCCTGTACAATGCACACACATGGCACGGCGCTTATGAGCAGTCCTTGGGATTGGCGGGTGACGACCTCGCGCCTGATTTGCGGTCGGTGGATGGTGGGGCCAGTCTCGGCTGTGGGAGTGAGCGTTGAGCCCCGTGCAGTGACATGGTCGCGAGCAAACATCTGTTTTCGCGGGCTTTTACGACTGGCGCGCGACGAGTTCGCGCGCTTTTGCAAGCCAGCCAGCTGCTCTACCCTCCGCCGTCGTCGAGCAGTCCTTGTGAGTCCCGCCATGGTCTCTGGAGCGCGCTAGGTGATCCGGCGGTGTTGGGTCTTGTCGACCGCTCATTGGCGACGGAGCCCGTGGTGCGCCTAGCAAGATCGTTGCTCCTTGCTCTCTCTCTCCTGTGTAAATGGCAGGCGGCAACAGCTCCATTACTCCTCCCTCCCTCACCCTTCCTCTCTCAGTAGCGGGCGGCCACAAAGCCTGTCATCATGGCGACGACCTCAGTCACGGCGACGCCCCAGCACGGCGGCACAATGGCGCGGGAAGCCCTCGGCGCAGCAGCTCTGGCGCGGGCAGGCGGGTGTCCCGGCGCAGGGGCCACCGGCACAGGAGGCCCCCGGGCATGGTCTTGGGCGGTCCGATGCGGCTGCGCAACGGCAAAGGAGGCCCCCATCGTGCGCGGGGCCGCTGGCCCCAGTCGCCGGCTTCTCCCGGAAGCAGAAACCGCGTGAGATAAGAGCTGGGCGTGCCAGTTCCAGTTCTTTCGTTCCGGCCGTTTTCCAGGTGCGTAAGCGCTCTCCTCTCCTTCCTGCGTCCTTTTGGTGCTTTCGTTTTGCGAAGTTTCTTGCGTAATGGGAGCTGGGGCGGGAAATGGAGGTGCGGTGGATGGTGTAGGGAGGCTGGATCTGACTTGCAGATAGGCGAGGAGACGGGCAGAGGGCGCCGATGCGAATTGACACTATAAGAGATTGGGCCTTCTATGAAAATTTTGATATGACAAAGCACTTTTTAGTCATAAAAACGATGCGTTTATGACAAATTTTCAATGGATGACAAGCGTTTGACTAAGTTGTGCTTTGGTCATAAACAACCGTCACCATGTGCACCTCCCAATCTTTTGTGACAATAGCTCATGACGAAAGTGATCGAATGTATCGTCATTAACTATAAAAAAAAGTAATCCTACAATTCATATATTTTGCAATTCAAATATTTTTGAACTGTTCAACTGAACTCGGATGGAGAAATAATGAAAACAAAAGTTGTAGACCGTGATGAGACCTACAACTTTGTAGTTGATAACCTTTCCATTTGAGATCATTGAGATACCTAAAATTAGATATAATATTAAAATTTTAGGACCTACAAATATAGATCTGAGCACTAAATCACTTTTTTACATACCGTAACAATGTCAAACGAAAAAAATCATAAACTACAGAATTGTGGATCTTTTTTTCTACACAATATATATATATATATATATATATATATATATATAAATGTAATTTTTATTCATTCGAGTTTATATACAAAAGTTATGGTTTTTTAAAGATCAGCAAGCAGATAAAGAAAAAATGGAAAGAAAAAACAATGAAGGGAACGATACCCGGTTTTGAACCTGAGACCTATTGCTCAGTGCTCCATAAACCAAATGAGGTAACCACTGGGTTAGTAGCTTGTTAGCATTTATTTGGCCGTTCGGAACTCTTTTCTTATCTGAAGTCTGGATGCAGGTGAAAAAACTCGCTTCAAATAAAGCTTTAAAATATGGCGGCGGAGTGGTTTGAACCTACGACCTGTTCCTACTAAACCCGATGAGCTGACCACTCGGCCTTTCAATAGTTGGTGCGTGTTTAGGCATTCGAAACCGTTTTCTTCTCTGTAGTTTGGATGCATGTGAAAAAAACCTTGACTCGTGAAGTTCATCATGGAATAGTAATTTTTTACTTTTTAATGCGTGTATAAAATTTGAAACTAGTTTATATCACTCATATGAACTCCAAATGGAATGATTCTTTTTGCAATGTTCATATAAAATCATGCTCTATCGATTGATGGCATTTTTACTGTTTTTTTATTTGAAACTCATTTGATATTTTTCTATCATTAAAATGAATTTTTGCGTGCTTATCGAAAGTAATTCCAAATTGAACTGTGCGTACTTCCAATAGGAGTCAAAAAAAAAAATTATAAAGAACATATTTGTACATTTCACTCTACCCATATCCCAGAGTTGTTAGAGAAAACACTTGTTTGCTAAGGATAGTTCATCCTTCTATTCCTAAATTACCATAAAATAATTATAATAATTCTAAATTTTGTCAGAAAAATCTATAAATTTGCAGGGTAGCATGTTTTTGTTACATAATCTCTACATAAAAAAAACTAAAATGATTTTAACAAAGTGACAGTACACATCATTCACGATTGAAGTGGTGTATGGTCGACCACCGCCCACCCCCGCTTCAGACGCCTGTGTCTCTCAAAGGTGGTCAGACTTTGGACAAGCAACCGACGGCCAGGGATGAGTTCCTGGCTGCTGTCCGGAACGGCTCCTCCAAGCCCGTAGTATCATGAAGCGAGCCATGACTCGGCAAATGGCACACACCAGATGATGTGTCTTTCGGTGTGGAGGGCGATTGGGTGTGGCTCCGCCTTCACCAGTAAGGCTGACGGCAGCCTATCGAGTCCAGCCAGAATGCCAAGCTCACGCCCCATGCCACTTGCCCCTTCTAGGTGCTCGAGCGCATTGGCTCGATGGCCTACCGCCTCGCCTCCCTCACTAAGGCACGCATCCACAATGTGTTCCACGTGGTGTTCTGAAGAAGTTCCATGGCAACACTCCTACAGACATTGTTCCACTACCTACAGATTGTCCATGGCCATGCTTGTTCCCGAGCCCACCACATTGCCCAAGGCCGCCTCAACCATGGTGTGTGGGAAGTTTTGGTGCAATGGCTCGGTCAAGGCCAGCTCATTCAACCTGGGAGCTGCTGGAAGATTTCAAGGCCACCTATCCCAAATTCCAGCTCGAGGACGAGCTATTTCGAAAGGAGGATGGAAGTGTTGTAGACACTTTCATTGGGAAGCAATCTGGCAGGAAGAAGAAGAAGGCCCACCTCTAGTGGCTAGTTTTAGGCCATAGTTATCTTTTCCTATAAGTTAGGATCTGGGAGCCAGTTTGTTAGTGAGTTTGTTAGTGTCCAGCCGGCCATTGGGAGATATAACAAAGGGCCGGCTGATTAGGGAAGTTAAGCAGAAATAGAGCCAGCACGTTCAGAGCCTCCCAGGGAGGGCGAACCTGCTCTACCGCTGCTGATTATCTCTAGATTTAGCCATTGCAATTATCTCCAGTTCATCAATAAAGTTCAACCAGATTACTAGCTCTATCAATATATCACTAATTTCCGTTCAAGAAGCAACCTAAGGCAAGCAATAGGTGTTGAGCAATTAGCACATTGTGAAAGCAAGAAACAGTGTTGCTAGTTTGAAAAGGATTAACACTGAGGTCACACCGAGCAGATTAGCTTCACAGGGTAGTACAACAGTTGCTCATCTCACTGTTACAAAACTACTAATAAACAATGGAATAGTAAGTATACATCTCACACACCATCTATCTCAGCATGGTCTAGCCTCGCAGCCATTTTGGAAGAGCTTTACCTTGAATTGAAAAGGCAATTGAGGGTTCCAATGTTGCCTATGACTCTGCATATGGACCACTGCAGCTTTCAAGCCTCCTCCTTGTGTCTAAATCAATGTTTTTTTAGGCGCTAGGCGGTTTATAGGCGGTGACCCATCGCCTAGCGCCTAGGCGTGCTTAGGCGCGCCTAGGCATTTTCTAGGCGTACAGAGCAGGAAGATAGAAAGGAGCAGCCGAGCAGAGGAGAGAGGAGCAGGGGGCGGGCGGACCTCACCTTGGGGTTCCCGAGAGGCGGGGCGAGGGGCAGCGAGGCAGGTGAGGCGTGGAGCTCACCAGCAGTGGCGGCCCGGCGAGGAGGGGGCGCACGGGAGCTCCAGGGGCGGCGGCGGGCCGGCGGACGGAGGCGGCGCGAGGAGGCCTGCATGGAGGGAGAAGATGGCCGGTGATACGGAAAACGGGTCCACGGCGTCAAGTACAAGCTTCGCGCACGACGAATAGGCCGGAGACGTACCGTGGCCGGCGAATCGATCCTTCCCGCCAAGCCTCCGCTCGTCTGCAGGCTGCTCTCGCTTCGCCGCCAAAACGCGCGCGCATCCCGCCCAGGCGCCGCCTCCTCCGCAAACGCACGCGTCCACCGCCTAGATGCCGCCTCACCCCTAGGCCCCGCGGGAGGCCTCCGCCCAGCGCCTAGTCGCGCCTAGGCGAGCGCGGAATCGCGCCTTGTTTTTCACTGGTCTAAATCTTGAAATGCAATGCTAGACTATCAACTTAACAAGATGAAAATCTGTGTAACATAATTTTAAACAGATGCAACTATGCAAGCAAAAGCCTAGCAGCTAACAAGGCATACCTGGCACAATTTTTGTCAATGTAAATATGATGAAAAATGCTACAATTCTTTTTGTCCTCAAATTACAAATTCAGATAGACCTCTTGTCAAAATCGACAACAAAATACATGTATTCTATAGCTTAGCAATGCAGAACTACCAAGCGCATATATGCAACTGCACCTATTTTCAGTTCAACTATCCACATATCAATTACTAGACTAGATCTGTTTTAAAATTGGTGCCAACGCAATCAGACTTGACATACAAATGTTCAGTTACTAAACATACAAATGTTACTACTGATAGTTACAGTTACAGTTAGGATATGAAAGGTATGACCATCAAACCTAATATCATTGTGCTAATATCCTGCTCAACTCAGATCTCGCACTGCACCAAAGATACGAGCAAACATCACTTAACCATGAAGCGAATTAGAAGCCACAGATTGCGAATCGGAGGCCACAGATCGCGAATCGGACGTATCCCTCCCGCCTGCGCCTTCAGAGAGGGGGCCAGCCCTCGGATGCGGATGGTCTCTTGGCCGTCTGACCGGCTGTTGCCAGCACCAGGCTGGCTTGGGCGCTGCCTGCGCCCTACCACGCCTGCCCACCGGAGCCCGGAGCCGGCCTGCGCGCTGCCCTGCTCAGCTGCTGCGTGACGGCCTCCGCTGCTCCGCCCGCCGCCACGCGGCCCCGCGCCACCCCCGCTCGCCCGCCCCTAAGGCCCTAACCCAGGAACAGCGCGCTGGTGCGGACTGGGGAGCGGGAGATAACCCGAGAAGAAAGAAAGAAAAAGGACGTATGGGGAAGAGGGGCTCGGTGGCGGATAGGGTTTCTGGAGAGCGTTATATTCCAACGCCCAATGCATCTTGACCGTTCCTTTCGATCTAACGGCTGAGGCAGTGTTTGATTTGGGCTGTAGTGGGCTGCATCCATGAGATGGGCTTTATTTTACGTTGAATATTGTGAGGTTGTCAATTATACGTAGTTAATTGTTTTGTCTAATGTTTAAATAAGTAGGAAAATGCTTCTAAAGTAACGTGAAAAAACGTATCTTGTATACCCAATATATTTTTCAAATGTAATATGCTATATGTAAGTTGTTGTGCAGGAGTTTAAAATTTTTTGAATATATTTTTCTATTTTCTATAGTTAAAATTAATTTCTGGATGTTCATTTAAAGTAATTGTAAACTGAACTGTTCATACATATACCTCCAAAAAGATTCAAAAACAAACATAAAAATATATTTTGGCTCATACATTTCACTCTAGCCCATATCTTGGAGTTATACAAAAAAAACCATTTGTTTGCTTGGGATAATTCATAGTTTTATCTCCAAATTACCATAAGATAATTAAATAATATCTAAACTTTGTTAGAAAATTCTACAAACTTGCATGACAACATGGTTTTGATGTATAATCTTTGCATAAAAAATCGAATGATTTAAACAAAGTGGTACTATACATTGTTCACAAATGGACACATGTCTCACATAGTTATGTAACTATGTGAGAGATATATCCTTTGTGAATAACGATAGTCCAACTTTATTAATATGATTTGAAAATTTTATGCCAAGATAATACAACCATATTATGATCTCTTACCAAATTTTAGGATTTTCAGACACCATTAAGATAGTATTGATTTTTTCAGTCGGAGTCACCAAAATACTTACAAACATTTCATTGGGTGCCAACCTCCAAGAAACTTCGATAACCCCCAAGGAAATGATAATTTATTTGACGGTTTAGAATAACACTCAAGGAAATAGGTATTTTTCTTGGCGGTTAAGAATAACACTCAAGGTTGACTGTTTACGGTTACATTCAAGGAAATAATTGGAAACCGCCAAGAAAATACCCATATTCGTTGGCGGTTTACTTCAACCTCCAAGAAATATATGTTTCCTTGAGAGTTTAGTAGCACCGCCAAGAAAAATGCACTTTCCTTGGCAGTTTGATCATGGCACTCAAGAAAAATCTTTGGGCGCCAAGGTGATTCCAGTTTCCTATAGTGAGGCCCACTGGATCGATTTGTACTGGGCCCTTGTTTAGTTCTATGAATTTGGATTTTGGGGCTACTGTAGCACGTTCGTTTTTATTTGGCAAATAGTGTTCAAACATGGACTAATTAGGCTCAAAACGTTCGTCTCGCAATTTCCCACCAAACTGTGTAATTAGTTTTTCTTTTCGTCTACATTTAATGCTCTATGCATGAGCCGCAAACATTCGATGTGACATGTACTGTAGCAACTTTTTAGAATTTGGGTTTCAACTAAACAAGGGCCTGCAACAAGCCATAGCCATGCATGGAGCTCTGCCAAAATGGACTGGTGTAGAGCCGACCAGTTGGCAGAGAAGAAACACAGCTCTGGGGCCATCTGTTGTAAGCATTTACACCTTACTGATGAATCGGAACGTACATTTGCTCTCTGATCTGTCGCCTTTTAGGAAGCATGTGGGAAATTAAACTCTTCCTGTTCTTTTGCTAAACCAAACTCCTGTATTTTCAGTTTTCTGAGAGTCAATGGGGCTCGCCTCTTGTGGAAAAAAAAAATTATAAACTCTCTGAACATGGATCGTTCATAAATCGTTGCCCAAAGCACATGCACAGTATGTCATGCATGAACAGTAACCACCGTTCCTAAAATGTGCGTCACTTCGCATTCAAGTAAGGCACAAGGCTGGTAGTCGATGGCTGGAGACCTGGAGTGATGAGAGACATCCGGGTAGCGCGGATTGCACCCAAACATAGAAACGCAGCTAGCATTTGCAACAAATCAAACAAATTGATCAGGAGCTACTAGCTAGCAAGATGGCTCTATTAACTGGTACCATCATGCCATGGCATGACAAGATGCAGCACTTAATCCATACTGTCCCACACAGGCACTACTGACCCTGTCGAGTTTCACTGCTACTCGATCTATTGCTTGGCTGGCACAACTACTAGTACTGCTCCTCTAATTAATCTTCATGCTGCCATAAGTCCCGTTCGGCTTGCTGAAACTTGGCTGAATTGGTTGAAAATACTGTTCTGCTTGAATTGTTGTGAGAGAAAAACACTGTTTCGGTTAAAAAAACAAGCTGAATAGTGCGGATTATAAGGTAAGCCGAACGGGCCAATGAGAGTGAGCTAACAACGAACACGATGGAGAAGAAGCAAACATGAAATTTAAAGAGCGCTCTAGTTCCACTACACTACTAGCTAGTACTTCTCCAGATTCCATACGCCATATATATAACTTAAGAGTAGTGTTGCATCAGCTAGCTAGCCGCATCCATTAGTAATGGTAACAAGCTAGCTAGCTTCAGCCTTCAGGCGACGCAGTTGAGGCCCAAGCAGCCCATCCACAAGCTCCTCCTCGCCGCCCTCTTCTGCAAACCAAAGCGAGGAGACTTTTTAGTCTGCAAGAATTGAAGGATAGCAAGAAGAAATGAAGAATACGTGAGCTTTTGCTGTCGCTCTGGCTAATATGTCACGGTACGTACCCGCCGCCTTGGAAGGCGAGATACAGCAGTATCGTCGTCCGGCGGCGGCACCCGGTACAGGTCCTCGTGGACAGGCCTCACGACAACCCTGCGGGCGCCCTTGGCCGGCGTGCGCGCTGCCGCCACCGCCCTCTTGTGCTCCGCAGCT